TCCTATGGCCAGCCCAGATGCAAAGGAGGAAAACCAGACTCTGCTTCTTGATGGGAGGAGCGGCCTGTGTGCACAGGGATGGCAAGAACAGTTGGCAGCCGTGGTCTCATGCAGGCCACCATGATGGTCCTTGCGTTATGAAACTGATCCAGAATCAGCCAGGTCTGTATGGATCTACCCAGCTTCCTTGCGAGGGTCAGGGTGTGGGGGAAGAGAGGAGGCTGGCAGTGTCCCTGGAGAAGCAAGAACTCACAAGGCCTTTGGGGCTATGGCCAGGGTCTGTCACTGCTTAGGGAAAAGGGAGGGGGAGTCAGGCTGGGCAGATCAGAGTTGAGAAGGAGCACTATGTATTTCTGGGGAAAAAAGTGGCCAGGCCAGAGGGAAGGGTGTGAGTCTCACAGAGGGGAGATGATTTGGGACAGCTTGGCACTGGGCCTCGCTCCAGGTTGGGGGTTGAGCAGGTCTTATACAACTGGAGGATGCAACATTTTCATTTTATCCTTCTTTTCCCCATGGTCTATTTAAAGACTGTTTCTCTCCTCCAAGGCTGCATGTTGCAATTTCTTTCGTGCTTAGGTTTCGGATCTTCCCCTGACAAGCCCCAGGCCCTGGAGACATCTCTTGCCTCGCCTTGCCTTACCACACTTGGGGACTCTGGATTTCAGCCCTGGGTTTTGGCCACCACCACATCCTCCCCCTGTCCCACTTTTTTCTGGCTGTTTGTATTCAGTCTAGACGATTCATTTTTACTTGTTGATGTTCTGCCCTAGCCTAGGGCAACCACGGTGTGGTGGGACCGAGCACTAGAGTTGGAGTCAGGAAAGCTGGTTTAAATTCTGGCTGGGCCATTTACTGGCTGTGTGTAAATTCGAGCACGTTATTCACCCTCTCTGAGCCTCCTGCTTCTCATCAGCAAGCAGAAATCATGAGCCCCATCTCCAGGGTGGCTAAAAGCAAGAAATCGTGCCTAGCACTGGCTTCTGTCCCTAATCCCTGCCATGGACTCAGTTCCGTCCTTGTCCAGCCCAGTTCAAGTGTCTCCACCTGTCAGTGAGCTCCTCCACCAGATACCACGGCCGGCCTCTCCCACCTCCACGGCCTTGGGATGAACCCCTTGGTTGCCTTGGCTTCAGTTTCACAATGTGTCATTCAACAAACGTTAACTAAGCATGTACTATGTTCCAGGCACTGTTCTGGGAGCTAGAGATACAGCAATGAAGGAAACAGACAAAACTCTTTGCCTTCACACATTGCCTGCATTCTAGTGGGGGCAGGGGTGGGGCGTGAGGGGTAGAGGGAGAGACAGACAAAAGGGAAAGTAAATTTTAGAGCTACCTGGTCCAAAACAGTAGCCACTAGCCACATGTGTATACTAAGCCCTTGAAATGTGGCTGCTCCCAAATGAGATTCACGATAAGAACAAAGCACGCATCAGATTCGAAGATTTCACACAAAAGAAAAGGGAAATCTCTAATAATTTTTACATTGATTAAATGCTGGAAGTTAGGGTTAAGTAACATATAGTATTAAAATTAATTTCACCATTTCTTTTGACCTTTTGAAATCTGGCTCCTAGAAAATTCCAAATTACCTGTGTGGCTCACAGGGCAGTTCTCCTAGACAACACTCTTCTTGGATGGGTGAGAAGATGGCACACGTTATGGGGAGAGGAAGGGGTGATAAAAGGAGGATCCAAGTGCAGAGTGAGGAAGGGTTGTCAATTGTAAATGAAGTGGTCAAGGTGGCCTCCCTGAGAAGGTAACAATCCAGGTTGCCAGGATTGGAGAAGAGTGCTCTGGGAAGTGGGGACAGCTAGTGCAAAGGCCCTGAGGTAGGAGAGTACCCATAGTCTGAGGAACAGAGAGGCCACAGTAGCTGTTGCTGAGTGGCCAAGGGGGTTCAGAAGTCATAGAATCAGGGAAATAGAGGCTGCCCAGATGGTACAGGGCCTTTTCAGGCCAATGTAAGGACTTTTATTTTTTTCTCTGAGTGAAATAGAGTCTCTGCAGAGTTTTGAGCCAAATGGTGACATGATTTGGCTCACAGTTTCCCAGGCTCATTCTGGCTGTGGTGTGAGAACCAACTTAAAGGGGGTGAGGCTGAAAGAATTAGGGGGCCAGTTCAGAGGCTCCAGCAAATACCCACTTGGGATGACGAGAGCCCCTACTGTACAGGGCTGTGGTGTGGATTCTGAGTTAACCAATGGGAAGCTCTGTAGGGCAGAGACCTAGCCTCCCATCTTCCTCATGGTGTAGCCAGGGGAGACAGAAGTCGCCACCACCCCCTCAGCACCTCCCCTTGGAGGGAGGCCACAGTCTCCTTTTGGCCTCCCTGCCTCCTGCCTGCCACAATGCTGGGGTACTCCTTCGAAAACCCCTCAATTGCTGCTCATCCCTGACAGGCCAGAGGCTCCTGGCATGGCATTGCAAGCTCACTGCGAGCCAGCCCTGCCTCTCCCCTGCCTCCACACCTCACCCCTGCCCACCAGAGTCCCCACTCACACCTTTGCTCATACTGTGCCTTCTGCCTGGGATATCTGCTTCAACCGTTCCCCCCGCCTTCCCTCCCTATTCTATCTTCTCCTACCTGTTCTTCAAGGGGCTACAGAGAGGTAATGTCAGGAGAGGACCCCCAGACTCTGCCACCCCCAATACTTCCCAAGCTGGACAGGTAGCCCCCTCACATGTTATGTATCTTTCTAGTAATGGATTTATAGTTTCTGTGACTCCTCAGCCACCCACCCTCACCAGACCCTTGAGGAGTCCTCTACCCTAGCGTAGCCCCATAAATATGGTTTGAGGGAATAAAAGAGAGGCAAGAGGAAGTAGATTTGGAAGCTTTGCTTACAAATGCCAAAGACCTAGACAGTGTCTACCCTCGCCAGGACCACAGGAGAGCAAGCCCTCTACAACGAGGCGGGGCGGGGAGTCCTCTCAGGGGCCACCAGAGCTGCGGGTCTATCTTCCAAGGGCTCAAGGAACTCCAGGACCCACTCTGTAAAATTTAATTACACCCTAGGGTCACAGGGTGCCCGTGAGCACTCCTTGCCACTCCCAGCCTGTTGTGGCCAAGGCCCCATAGCCAACCTTGGCCCTCTCCTGTGCCACAGGCAGCAAGCTCAGACACATGGCCAGTCCACCCAGGGACTAGGCCTAGATCACGCAGTTCCTGAAGGCAGCACTGCTCACTGCAGGACCTGGCTCCTCTCTAGGGTGCTGTTTCTCCCTCCCTCATTGCAGAGCCCCCTCCCCACACGTCATGGCAGAAAGTGGACGGGACGGCACCTGCTCAGCCAGAATGTAAGTGCTGTAACCCCCAGCACAAGAAGGTGGGCCACCCCATCACCTGCACCCCTGGGACCCCTTTCCCAGACCTAAGACAAATGCCATTTTCCCCAAGGGAGGAGGGAAAGGGGGCAAGAGGGAGTCTGGAACAAGGACCCAATGGAGAAGGAGAAACCAGGAGGAGCTTTGAGATCAGAATTAAATTCTTTAATACAAAATGCTTTTTTTAAGATATATCTGTATTTCTTTGTTGTTGTTTAAAAATAAATATGTACTACGGAATATCTCGAAAAACTGTACTAGAGACAAAGATGTGATGTTAATATCTTTTTCCCCCACAATTATTACGGATAAACAGTAGCACCAATAAATAAATGATAACAAATATTAAAATTAAAAAAGGAGAGAGATTTAGTATGTAGAATTCTCTATTTTTTCTTGTTTTGTTTTTACATATAAAAAACAGAATAGCAATGTCTATTTTATCAGAATCACATATATACATAAACATATATATATATATATATATATATACACACACACACACACACAAACGCAAGTTGCCAAATATATATATAGTATGTAGATGTATATTGAAATCTTATTTCAAAGGAATGTGTGGCGGGGAGCCAAGGGAAAGGGGAGGGCAGAGCTGAGTGTTAGCAAAATTAAATATCTGTTCAGGACAAGCTAGTGACTGTCACCGATCGGGGAGCTAGAGATTGGAAACATGAATTTTAAAACACAAAGACCAGTACAAATAAGCGAGAGAGAGCGAGAGAGAGAATACATCTCATAAATAGTTGAAATTAAATATTAACCAAGAATACTGAAAAAAACCCTACTCTTTAATTAAATTAACTGTTTTAATTTCTAATTAAAAAGGAATATTAAATAAGTACCGTATATAAAACACGTTCTCTGCCTCCGTGGTGGGCACGTGGATCCTGCCCTGTCTCTCTGTGCCGCGGGAAGGGTGGGGTCTGGGGACAGGGGAGGGGTGAACCACTCACACACACACAGCCAGGTCTCCTGGGGGGACAGAACTAGTGGTTTCAATGGTCTGAGGACATCAGGCCCTCCGGGGCTGCACCGGGGAAGGGGAACTAGGAGAAGGCCAAGGCAGGAGTCCCCTCCTTTGGAGGACAAGCTGCCGCCAGGCGGCCCTTCCCCCACCAATGTCTCTCTTTTTTTCGCCAAGACTTTTGCGGGCAGTGCCCTGGGCCTCTAGGGAGCGAGCGAAGAGCCGGTGAAGGTTGCCCAGTCTCCTGAATCTTCCAGGCAGTGCCCCTGGGGGCAAGATGCCTATGCAGCATGCGGAGAGGATCCCCAAAGTACAGTAGTGTCCGGAGGCTCCCCAAACTCCTGGTCAGAACCAGTGTCCTCATCCCTGTACCTGCTGTCTGCCCATTTGACTCGGGGTAGAGGCTTGGGGCCAGGGCTGGGTTTGTCGGTGTTCCCAAAAGCAGGCCAAATTTGCCCCCGTGCCCTGGCCACGCACGTTCCCGGGCAGGGAAGGGGACCCTGGACTTCCTAAGAGTAGGACTGCAAGATCATGCCAGAGTCTCCCCTCCCATCCTCTTCCCTGTTGGGATCTGGGTAGGGGCATTCTCCTCCCAACTCAAGTCCACAGCAGTCAAATACATCCAGTGAAGACACCAATAACATTAGCAATGTTAATTTAAAAAAAAAAAAAGAATATATATATTTTATATATATAAAATATATATATTTATTTTTATATATATATAATATATATATATATTATATATATATATAAATGTATGTATGTGGGTGGGTGTGTCTACAGGAATCCCAGAAATAAAACTCTCTAATCTTCCGGGCTCGGTGATTTAGCAGCAAGAAAATAAAATGGCGATCCAATTCCAAGAGGGACCGTGCTTGGTCACCTGCCCGGGAATGCTTCTGCCGGAGTCGCGCCCTCCGGACCCAAAGTGCTCTGCGCAGAGTCCCTCTTCCTTCATGTCAGGTTTCTGGATTAAGGGTTGTTCTGGTGACGGCGATGGTTGGTGTGGTGGTGGTGGCGGCGTGGTTTCTGTAGCGTTCTGAATCAGGCTTTCCCGGTGAGAGGTCTGGTTCCCGAAACCCTGAGGGAGGCTCCTTCTTCCAGCCCGGCTCACCGCCTGGGCTTGTCACATCTGCGGGAGATGGGAAACAGAGGCTGGGGTCAGGGCCAGCCGTGGGGATGCAGTGGTGAGGCAGGCAGCCTCCCCATCCTGGGAGCCCCGAGTCCCCGGCCAAAGCACGGTGCTGCCTCGAGGAGCCCAGCGTGAAGGGAAAGCCAGCCCCTGTGTCCAGGGCACCCCTCTGCCCTCTAGAGCTTACAGTCTAGTTGAGACAGGACAAGGACACAGGGACATGTCATCAGAGACGACAAATGAATCCACACTCAAAAGTCCCTCCTTGACATTTAAGAGCTGATGGTGACCAGAGTTAGGCTGAGTTAGTCAGCGAAGAGTGCCCACAGAGAGATGTGCTTTGACTCTGCCTCTGTGGGGCTGGCTGGCGGGAGACAGTGGGGAGAGCACCCTGACCGGGGGCTAGGGCCAGCTGAAAGGGAGGGGACGCCGGCGAGGCGCTGAGGGACACATCTCCCTTCACCATGTCCTCCCTCTGGGCCTCATTTCTTCAGCACGCTGGCCACAGCGGGCGCCAGGTACCAGGCTGCTGTGTGACTGACACTGGGGAAGACGTGATCATTTCCTGCACTGCTCCTGTCCACCCAGAGGGGATGCCGAGAGTTTTCGTGTCAGGCCCCTACCCCTGGCACTGATCACCTTTGCCCTTCTCCACTATGAGAGGATGGAGCAGTCCCTGCCCTTCTCAGAGCCCAGTAATGGCATCCTAAGCCCTGAGTTGGGGTCCTGAAACTCCCACGTATGGGGGAGGTCACTGGAGGTTAGCATAACTTCCATCAGCCCCAGGTCACTTCCCACACCCCATCCCAGACAGTCTCTCTGCAGAATAATCCCCACAGAAACCCTAAAATGATAAAGCCCTCACTTTCCCCAAAGCCCCTAGGACATGTGGAGACCCCTCACTGGGCCCTAGAGTTAGGCAGAGCCCCAAGGCTAGCACTCACTTTTACTTCCTGTTTTCATGTACCCCCGAGACAGACAGAAGGCTGCACCAAAGCCCAAGGGCCTTGTGCATGGGGTCCACAGCCACAGGAACATGGGGGGTGGGGAAGGCAGCCACATTTCAAAGACTTTGTTAATGGAGCAACTGGAATGGCTGGGGGGGACCCCCAACCCTGCGCGGGCATCCCCACAGAAGCCCCCCTGAGTGACACTCAGGCTGGCCCAGAGGGCTCCTGGCCTTGGAGCAACAGCCTGACTGGTATAAACACCACCGAAGACTTCGAAAGATTGCCAGCCAACCTGTCACGGCTCTGTGCTCCTGACCTTACCCCCTGAACTCAGCCATGTATTCGCTTACATGCTTGACACTTTCTAGGTCCCCACTGTGGTCCAAGGACAGAGCTACAGATGCCTGGAAGGTCACCCCGGTGAACAAAAGCCAGGCCCTCCCGTGGGGTGCTCCCAACCCGCCCATCCTGGAGGCATCTGGAACTAATGTGGGCTGTTTGGGGTTGTCATCATGACAAGAACGTATTACAGGTTAACTCTCCTAGGATCCCAGTTTCAGAGGGCCTCGCCCCCTGCCCCGTGAGAGACACTTAGGGGATGAGAAGCCCAGCAGTGCAGACTTCAGAAGGTGGTGGCAAGGTCCCCAAGAGCCTTTGCGATTTGTAGATGGCAGCACCCCCTCAGAGCAAGAAGGGCCCTCCGTATTAGTAGCAAGGTAGTAGTAACCACATCAGGACCAACAGCCACCACAGGACACCGCGGGACCACAGGGCACGACACTTAGCCTGAGTCCACACCGTCACATGAAGCCACACCAGGCTACCCCCTCAGGCAACCAGGGCAACGTCTGAACAGGCCCCACCAGGCCAGGCCAGCGCCTGCCACCCGCCGCAGGGGCCTCTCGAGCACAGAAGGCAGCAGTCAGTCATCAGGCAGGCAGCTAGAAGCCGAGCAAGCAGCTGGCCCCTCTTGGGTGTGCGTGCGCGCCAGCTCTCTCTCTCTCTCTCTCTCTCTCTCTCTCTCTCTCTCTCTCTCCCCATCTCTGTGTGAAGCCCCTCTCTGACTCCCTTGCCCTCTGGGAACCAACCTGCAAGTACGTTCGTTTAACTCAAGCTGCCTCGCCTTGCAACGCGAGTCTGTGTTTTTGCAGGAACATTTACACGTCTGCGGATCTTGTACAAACAAATGCTTTCTCCGCTCTGAGCAAGGCCCACAGGGACTGCAAAAAGGCAAAAGGAAAGACATCTAAGCTAGAGCGTCAGCAGAGAGAGAGAAAAAAAAAACAAAAAACCATGCAACACCCCCTAACAGTCCGCAGCTGCACCACACCCCCCTCAGCTCACTGGTCCCCCTGCCCTTCCATGCCCTGGAAGGATCCAAGGGCTGCAGCGGAAGATGGAGAGAGCGGCGGAAAGAGGCAGCATTGGCTAGGAAGCCTGCCTGCAGGAAGAGGCAGGCACAGATGGGCAGAGTGCAAGGAGAGGGCCCCCGTAAGGGGGGTGCTATCCCCTGGGGACAAATACAAGTCTTGGGCCACAAGGCCCCAACAGCTACCACCCCAGAAAGAGCACACCTTGACTCTTCACCTGCTGGGGACAGCAATCCGGGCCACCTTCCCCCGTGCCAGGGCTCAGGCCCGGGCCCCTCCACCAAAGGCAGGCTGAAGGAGGGCACCATGGCAGGCCAAGCCCAGAGGCAGCATCCACAGCCAGGCCACCAGTGGCCGAAGGGCCCACCACAGCCTCCAACCCAGAGGAAGAGCCTCCAAACCTACAGGGAGGTTCCCGTGGGTGCCGTGGGTTGGCCGAGTTACAGGGCTCCCCTCCAGAAGCCCCAGGTCCACGAGGATGGGCTGCCATGCAGTGCCTGACCCCACCCGGCCTCTCCTTCAGCTGACGACAGGCTGCCTCGTGTCATTCGCGCCCCTTCCTCACACCACATCTGCCCACCCCACCACCCTCAGCTTCCAGACAAGTGCACAAGCCCAGAGCAGTGGAAACCAGTTGAGTGAGAAGGCACCAGTGCCTGGCACCCATGCCAAATGGGCCCGCCACCAGTGCCCAGTGGGTGAGGGAAAGGCGGTGCCCAGCCAAGCCAGAGTCCCCCCCCGCCAAATCCTCTGGGCCCACTCTGCCTGCCTGCCCACCCATCCCAACCCTGGACCAGCCAGCCACGCCACCACCGAGTCTAGCCACTGGTGCCAATTAGTGGAGTGAGAGTGAGAGAGAGCCACTGCGGGGAGAGGCGGAGGAGAGCTGGGGGGGCTGGGGGGGGCAGGGTTAGGGGTCCCGCCGGCAGGAGTCTGACTGGGGGCCAGGGAGGCTCCAGGCATTGAGACAGCGGAGGTACCACGTACACGCTCCAGGGTTTATACCGGGATTTCTTGCGCTTTCTTTTTTGCCCCTTTCCCTTTCCTCGAACTGATTTTCTGGAAAATAAAAAAACAGAGACAGACAAAGAGAGAGCAAGGAGGAAGGGGAAAGGAAAAGAAGCAACAAGGAGGGCAGGGTTCGGGACGCACTCCCTGGAACAAGGCATCGGGAGGCCAGCGGGCTCCAGGAAAGGGCCTGCACACGCGCACACACACACACACACGCACACGCAGGCTGGGGCAGCTGGCATGCAACGGCTCCTTCTTCTCCCTTTGGCCTTCCTAGGGAGGCCAGTCCAGCCTCCAGCAATGCTCTGTGTTGGGAGCAGAGGCTGGGTGGAGGACACAGGACCCAAAGGCCTGCATACTCGTGGCAGCTCCTGGTCCCAGGCAAGGACCTGTCGGCAGGCTCTGGGTCCAGCAACCCTGGGCAGGTTTGACCCTGAAGGTCGGGCGGTGGGGGGGAGCTATAAAAGGTAGGCCAGAGTTTGGAGAGACCTGATTTGATGGGGGTAGGAGTCAGGGCCCAGGCTGTGCTCCAGGCACCTTCTGCCTTCATTTCCAAGTGCACTAGCAAAGGGGTCCCTCAGGGCCCTGCCTCCACAGGTCCTGGTGTGGGAGAGCAGCTACCCTGGGAGCTGGCACAGACCCAGGGGCGGCACGTGAAAGGCGCCAGCCTGCCCAGCTATAACCTGGGCCGAGAGGCAGAGATGGGTGTCCTCAGAGCCCCAGGCAGGCGGTAGGGTGGGGTGGGAGTTAGGAAGGCACGGGAGGAGGGGCCTGGCAGAAAGTCCTCTCCCCAGCCTGTCAAAGCCTGCTACACCATCTCACCAGACTCTCTTCCGAGCCCAGGCGAGCCCCCCACTCTCCCTGTGGGCAAAGCAGACATTTGGGAAATAGGCAAGGGGGGGGCAGGCTGAAGCCTGTTCCCCTCAAGGGAACCAGCACTCTCCACACCTGCCAGGCCAGAGGGTGCCCAGAGTGTCTGCCATGGGGGAAGAAATGAGGGGGAAGGGACTGAGGAGAGGGGCAAAACAGCTCCCCTAGGAGAAAGCACTGGGAAGGCAGGAGGTCTACACACACAAATACACATTCTCTCTCTCTCTCTCTCTCTCTCTGAGCCTAGTCTCCCAAATCGCTGCTCTGGGAGCAACAGCAATCCTGGAAGTTGGGGACTCAGGGAAGAGGGAAGGGGTTGAGGCCCCAGAGTTTCGGAATCCCCAGAGCTTTGGGGGCAGACGGGATGGTGAGGGAGGGGAGGAAAGGGCACAGTTGCTCTCTCTCATTCTCTTTCCCTGCAGGCTAGTCCCTAGACCTCACCAGGTCTCAAAGGCCCACTGCCCCCAGACTATGCCCCCCTGCTCCATCCTGACCCAGCCCTCCACACGCAACAACTAGAAGCCTCAGAAAATGACCAACTGTCAACTCATTTCTCCCTGGCCAGTGAGGGCTGAGTGGCTCTGACCCACCCTCCTCCTACAGGGCATCACCCAGAAAACATCTCAGCTGGCCCCCAAGTCCAATCACACCACCAGAGCAACCACTGTGAGAGGCCGTCCCCTCTGACACACAGAAGCTGGCCTCTTTGCTACCCACTCCCTCTCCCCACTGTGCATGATGGGAGACTAGAGCAGGCCAGGGAGGCCATGTCCACACGGCCCCCCAGCACACCAAAACTGCAAGTCCTAGCCAGGAAGGACCTGGAGACCTGGAATGTGTGGTCTCCCCTACAGGAAGCTCCAGGCTCCAGACTGGGGTTTTGCCCCTAATCCTAGAGCCATAATCCTCGAGTTTGCTCCAACCCCCTCCTGCCACCACAAGTCTTCGGTGAGGCCAACTCCCTGACCCGGTGAAGCCATCAGACCCCCTGAAAGAGGAAGCCAAGAGCCCCAACCAAGATAACTGGCCAAGGAGAGGGAGAGGAGCTAAAGTCATGTCCACTTACTTTTCTTGCCTTGCTCTATCTTTCTTTGGTCTGCAGTGGGCAGAGAAAAAGAAAAGAACAAAACAGAGAGGCATTCAGACGGTGATGCTGACAAAGGTAGTAACATATTATTTATGACACATCAATGCAGTTTTAATCCCTTTACATAAAATAACTCAAACCTTCCAACAACATTATGAGAGACATCCATGGTTGTGCCCATTTGACAGATGTAGAAACTGAGGCACCATGAAGTAAAATTAAAATGCTCAAGGTTCCACAGTTGCAAGAGAGAAATGGCTAGCAAGTGTAACATGCTTAGCCCTCCCACTGTCTACTGAATGAGCAAATCCATGCCTCTGTCCTCACCTGCATTCACATTTGCTGTGCTGTAGGAAACTCATCTCCCCTATGTGCTGGCCTTGATGAGGTTTGATCCGCATAATCTAGAGGGAAAGGAAGCAGATCACAGAGGTCAGTGGCCCAGCCAGCCATACCCAGATGGGACACCCCGTGGCTCTTGCCACTTAGCACCAGGGGTTCTACAGAGCAGGGGTGGGGGCAGAGGGAGGAGGGACCTGGGGCTCTACCAGAAAGAGCCTCAGGCCCACCCCCACTCCCCTGACTCCCCAGACCCTGCTGACCTCAAGGAGCCCCCGCTCTTCCTGGGGGCAGGCGTGGCTGCACGGGTTGGCCAGGCTGGGAATTTGAGTCCTGGGTTCTTGCCAGTCCCCTCCCCTCCCCTCCTGTTAGCCCCTCTAGACCTCACCCTGACCCCTAGTTGCTACCCAAGAGCTACCTTCCCTGCGGTCTCAGAGCTCCCTCCCACCCTGTCCGGCCTGAGATGTGCCCTGTCACTGGGCAGCAGCAAACGATGTCCTTTGAACACTCTCCATGCGCCGGGCTCATCCAGCACCCCAAACAGAGCCCCCAAGGAGGAGGAGCCCTCTTCCTCCAAGAGAAGAGGAGAGGGGCACCTGTCACAGGTATGAGCCCCTCCTGAGCCCAGGGGCAAAGGTTGGGGGGAGGAGGAGGCAGCAGGGACTTGTGGGGAACCCCAAACCAGAAAAGGCAGGCATCTTTTCCCCCAAAGGGGCAAGACCCCCCACACCTTGCCATAACTGACTTAGGGACAGGTGCTGAGCAAGACGAGTCTGGCTCTCCTCTTAAGAGCTGCCCAGGAAAAGGCCGGAGAGCACCTGTTCCAAAGTCTAACCCCTGCTGCCCCCGCCCCCTGTCCCGCCCCCACCCCCACTCCCCACAGATGCCCACCTGCATGGTGATGTTGAACTCCTCAGTGGGCACGCACTCCAGGCCCTCATCATTACAACAGCCCCCACACCGCATCAGGGGCACACAGGATGGCTTGAAGATGTACTCGATCTCGTCAGGGTACTCCTGGAAGATGTCCACCAGGGTCTCAATGGGACGGCAGTAGCTGCGCTGGTAGACATCCATGAACTTCACCACTGCATGGGATGGGGTGACACATGAGCCCCGCTGGTCACACGGGAGATGGCCGGCCCCTATCACCCCGAGCTTCAGAGGGCAACCCCATGGGGTTCCTATGAGGTACCCCCTACTGGGGTACCAGCCCTTCCCAAACTCTAGCTAAAGTCCCTCCAGTTGTGTGCTTGACATCCTTCCCTAAGCTTTCCCCCATGGGCACTGATGAAGGTCTGGTTCTATTCCAAAGTGATCACACGAGGCTGTCGGGTCCTGAGGAAGATGGTCTGCCATATCTGACCCACTGCCTCGCCATGACCACCGAGCCAATTCGTGGGTCAACCTTGACGCCAGGGCACAGTCTGAGGACGAGTATACTTGTCGGGGTTGGGGGGGGGAAGGGTGATCTAAGTTTTCCATGAAAGGAGAAAGAGCCAGCTTGGCAAACCTACTCCCCATTTCCCTACAACTTCTGCCACATGAACCACCATGCCAACAACCGCTGAACAAGGACTTATCATAAGGTGGGCATTGTGTGCTGTCATCCCTGGTTTTCATGGCCAACAGTATGAGGTTCCAGTAGGAACCCCATTTTACAAAGGGGGACCTGGAGGTTCCCGAGGGGCTGAGGAACTTGCCCCAGGCCCACACTTCCGAACAGCTCTGATCAAAGCCTTCCCAGGACAAATTATGTGGAAGCATCGTGGGGGGAGCACTTTGCCACCTGCCAGACCCCTCCCCAGACACGGGCTGGGGAGGCAGTGAGCATCAGCACAGGGGCCGGGCCTGCCTGGAATCAGCAGGTGGCAGCGGGTGGGCAATCTGCAGGCCCAGCCACCCCGATAACCCTGCCCGCCCCAGAGGGCAAACTGCTTGCATCATGGAAAAAACAGTGCTGCCGTTGCAGCCGCAGAGCACTTCTAGAAGCTGATCTGGAGGGAGAGCAGGGTAAAGACAGCTTCCCAGGCTGGCCATGGAGCCTGCGGTGCACTGGAGCATGAAGGGGTAATTCTAGGCCACAGGGGCGGGGCCCTGGAGAACAGATATACTCAGGACCTGGAATGATGGTTCCCAGTTGTGGCCCAGCCTGTCACTCTCCATCACACACACACACACACACCCTACTACCACAAAGTAATCCTCTCCCTGAAATGCTCCCCCCCCCGCCCCCGCTTCCCCTCCGCACGGGAGGAAGAAGTGGCATCCAGGCTGTGAAGAAGTCCCGGCACTGGCCATGACTTGGTGTGTGACCTTGGGCCAGTCCCTCCCCTCTCTGGCCCTCAGACTGCTCATCTGTATAAGTGGGCTGGGCAGATCCTTAAAGACACTGAAACTGAGACTGAAAATGTGGGGTTTTGTATCCCATTTCCAGCCCCAAGAACAGGTGCTCTTTCTCAGCCCAGATAACACAAGGCTTGGAACCTCACCCCCAAGTCATCTGAAGCACAACCCCTGGCCTGCCTTTCTTCAGGGACTGTGGCTGAGCCTCCTCTTCCCTTCAGAGGGTAAAGGAAGATGAACCTGGGTGTTATCTATATAATAGGGAGGTTGAGAACTGGGGGAGTTGAGGGGCAGGGAGGGGAGGGCCACAGGTGTGCAAATAGCAAGGGAGGAGGAAGGGGCTCCCAGCCAGTCCCTGGCCCTGTCTGAGATTTACTACCCCTCTGCAGACAACAGACACAGAATTCTCCTCCAACCTCGAAAGGGTTAAGGTCAAGCACCATCAGAAAGAATACAGACGAAATCAGGGATCTGAAGTAGCCCTTTTCTAAGCCAAGTCCCTATCGAAGAAGATGACTAATCAAGAAATCCTGACCTAGGCGTGCCTGGGTGGCTCAGTGGGTTAAGCCTCTGCCTTTGGCTCAGGTCATGATCCCAGGGTACTGGGATCGAGCCCCCGCATTGGGCTCTCTGCTGGGCGGGGAGCCTGCTTCCCCCGCCCTCTCTGTCTGCCTTTCTGCCAAATAAGTTAATAAAATCTTAAAAAAAAAAAAAAAAAAAAAAAAAGGAAGAAAGAAATCTTGACCTGACACTTCGTCATGGTTGGGAACAGAGATGGCCCAGGCTTTGTGGCCCCAACCAGGACAGGAAGAAAGCAGGAAGGTCTGCTCTGGACTGTGGCAGCTGGTAGCTGAGGGTAAAAAGTCACGGACTAGGGATTCCTTGGAAAAGCTCCCTGGAATCCTCAAGGGCCACAGGAGAGAGGTCGAGGGAGCAACTTCACCCATCCCTTTCGGACCCCAGCCACCACCCCCAAAGAAAGCCGGCCAACTTCTGCCCAGGCCACGGACATGCATCAACTCCCACGACAAGCTTTCTTGCTTTTCCTTACTTCTTGAAGACAATCTTGTCCCCAGGAAACAAAGACCATTTGTCTTGCCTCTCCCAGAACACAGAGACCACCGGGAGGCTGATGGGGGGTGGGTGCCCACTGGCAGCCAGGAGCCTCTCGGGGCCACAGGCTGTGGAGTGGCCGGGAAGCCAGGCCCTGGGCCAAGGAAAGAGCTCCTGAGTGAAGAGGGAGGTGGAACTAGCCGGGCATCACCCCTGCCCAGGGAGTGCCAACACCACCCCTGGCCACCACCCTGGGCCACAGTGGGTTTGGGGCTGGAAAACTCTCTGGGAGGAAGACCTGGGGGGCCTTCCCACCTCAGAGGTGGGGAGTTGGGGGAGTGGCATCAGGCACTTCTCTCCCCAGAATGGAGCAGAGGCCGCATTCAGTGAGGGGGGGAGAGCCAGGGCTTCCCTAGAGAAATGGGAGGATCCCTACTCCAAACCACAGGAACAAAAGGCAGGCTGACTCTTAGTTGGGCAGGGGGCGGGGCACCTGGGAGCTACAGCCAGCCCTCTGCTGGCCCAGGAGGGAAGTTCACAGCACCCAAACCTATCCCACCCAGAGGGCAGAGGGAGACCGCAGGGCCTTCTCTCCAACCCCAAAGGAATACAGGCTGTGGGGGCGGGGGGGGGGTTCTCAGGACGTTGGGCCCTCTGGAACTCCAGCTCACGCACAGCCAATCTGCTGGACAGCCACGGGCACAGCCCCCTCCACGCAGACCCCACAGGTGTGACAAGGCTGGGCTGGATGAGACATGACCTAGTCTATCCATCCTCCCCTTGGGGCAGCTGGGACAAGGGACACCTCCTGCGACACCTGGGATCTTTGAACACTGTCTTCCTGGACTGTGCTCACTGCTCCCTCTCCAAATAAAATTTTACTGGAAAGACCAGAAGGAAAAGACAGCAAGTTCTATTTCTAACAGAGACCTGAGTAGGAAAGAGAGTCCTCCAGAATGAAGGGTGACTCTCACGGTGCTCCCCTCTTCCCTTCTTGATCCCTATTCCTACACCCCTTCCCCCTGTCCCATGGCCACAGACTTGAAAGAAAGGGATCGGGCCTCCCCACCCCTCCCCTGGGGAGATAGGATACCCCTCCAAGGGCCAGAGGGACTCACCTTCGTGGGGTTTGTGCTCTCCTTCTGCCATGGGTGCAGCCTGGGACCACTGAGGACAAAACAAAGAGCAAGGGACGGGCATGAGCAGGGATGGAGAGGCCCAGCCACATGCCTGGACAGCAGCCTCTGGCTTCTCTGAGGCTTCTGAGAGAACAAGGCACCTGCCTGGCTCCCCAGAGCAGAGAGCATGCCCACTATCCCCTGCGAGTTCCAGTTGGGACAGAAGAGAAAGAATGACCCGCTATGGGGGGCCGGGGGGGGGGCGGAGAACTGAAAACACAAGAGGAAAATACCAGAACGCTGTGCTGCCTAGGTCCCCACCCCTTCCCCACATTTCCCTCCCCGCCCCTCACTGGCCCACTGCTGAGTTCAGTGAATTTTCTCAGCCCCCCTGACTCCCTGGTCCAAAGCCATGGGTAAGTAGTAAGGTCAAACAGGAGGACAAATTTGGACTGGAGCAGGAAGGAAGGACTGGGGGCGAGAAAAACAACATGGTGACCTTCTCCTGCTGACATGACAAATACCAGGGTGAGCTGGTGCTGGGGAAGGAGGAGGGTGCAGAGGAACGAAGGGCGCCAACCACCCTCCCCCATCCAAACTCCTCTGCTCTCCGGAGTTTTCAGCAAATATCCTCTGGTATATTCAGCAAAGCCACAGGTTGCCTAGAAGGGAAAACCGGGGAGGAAACCCTGGGAGAGGGCAGAGCCCCATTTCTCTCCGCACACAGACCTCCGGGAGCCAGAATGTACCTCCAAAGCCCTGAGCCTCACACTCCCACCTTGTTCCCTGGTTTCTTCTCCCTCCTGGACTGAGGGGGGTTGGGGTCCAGAGTCCCTCTCGCCTAGCTCGGCACTTTTCCTCCAATGCAACCAGCAAAGCCTTTATGCCTTAGCACTGCCCAGCCCCTAGGGGGCCCCCTGCACTACCCAGCCTTGAGGCCTCCCCTAGCCCTAGCCATCCCTCCCTACCCCCACCAGATCATTCCTTCCCTCCCCAGAAGCTGTGAAGGTCAACATGCCCAACCATGTGGACCTGACAGCTCTGAGAAGGCAAAGGCTTCTCCCCACCCTTCCAGAGGGCCTCCGGTTCTCACCAGCTGCCCACCCCACCTGCCCTTCTTTGGGGACATATTCCAAGCAGCAGAGCCGTACACCAGCCCGTGGAACTGCAGACCCCACTGACAAACTGTCTCTCCTTCCCACACACCCCCAATGCACCCTGGATCTCCGAGTCTTCCCCAGGGGCAAGGTCAGATAACAGTTTCCAGGATCCCAGCTGGGCAGCCTCCCACGACACCTCCATCAGGGACCCCCAGGGTCTCCACCTTAGCTCCTGGCCCATCTCCGGGATACCCCCTGGTTTCCTTCTGCCAACATTCTCTCTGTGCCCTCCACTCCTCCTGGGCCCCCATGAGAAAGGGGGGCAGAAATTTAACCCCCTCCAAGGCCAGGGGGCACTGGGAGGGGCTGTTCTGGGCAGGGAGGGACCAGGTGCCCTTCTCTGGGGGCCTCTGAAGGTCACACTGTGGCCAGGCCGCCACTCCTCCCCCTCTCCCTCCCCCCCAACTAGGAGGCCTGGAGCCAAGGCCTTTGTGCCAGGGTCTGAGGCACCCAGGGTGCAGCAGGGACCCCAGCCCATTTCTTTCTCTCTGCCTCTCTCCAAGGGGAGACTCTGTGGCCAATGGAAGGTGTAAGGGAAAAGTGTCAAGGACCCCTTAGGTGGCTCTGAGAAGCGAGTTGGGTGGGCAAGTTTTAGAGTTCCAAAAAACCACCTGCTCCTGCTTGGACACCCCATTTCACCAGGACAAAGTGTGTTTGCAAGGCTGGAAGAGCTCCTTCCAAAAGGGGTGGGGGGGCGGGGGGAAGCTGGTCCCACAATGCCCACGTTACAGCAAATTTTAACCCATTTTTCCAAAAAGTGTAAAGTGGGGTAATGACACCCTTTTCATTCCTACCTTAGGCCACCCCCATAAAAGCTAAAGCACGGCTCGGAAGTGTGGGGGAAGGGAGCAAAGCGGACTGTCACCAAGTGGGGACTTTAGGTAGTCTGACAAAGCACCAGGGTGGACCCCTGCGACCTGACCTCTGACAGCGATCATCCTTTCCCTGGCCTCTGGGGTCGGAGAGGGGTTACACGGGTCTTCTCAGCAGAGGGGAGTAAAAAATAGAACGGTGGCAGGGGCTTCTCTCCACGTCAGGGAGGAAATGGGGAAAGGGCATCAAGAAATCCGTCCCAGCACAGGAAGGGGCTAGGGTCTGGGGACAGTGGAGAAGACGTATGGGGTGGCTCTCCGCGTCCCCCGGCTAGGGATACCTCGAGAGGTCACCTTCCCGCGGAGGGCCGGCGGGGGGAGGGGCGCCGCTAGCCGCCCGGGTCTCCCCGCTCGGGGCCGCCGAGGCTCGGGGAACACGCGGCCGGCCAGGCCCGGGCTGATGTAATCTGCTCCGCGCCGCGCGCGCCCGGCCGGGCGGGGGAGGGCGGGCACCGAGCTGGACGCGAGCGGGAACGGGCGGGGGTGCCTCCGCGCAGGTGGCCCGGCGGAGACCGGGGGTCCCCTCGGCAATCCACCCCGAAACTTTTCTCAAACTCGTGGCGAGGGCCTAAGAGATCGAGCGCCAGTGACAGCAAGCCCCCTCTCTCTCGCCCGCGCCCTGCCCCCTCCACGCTCTCTGCCCTCCCTCGGTCCAAGGTCCGGGCACCCCCCTGCCCTCTGGGCTCTGGCTCCCGCCCCCGCTACCCGGACTTCCAGTTTGTCCGGGACCAGCGGCCAGGAGCAAACTTCAGCTGCCCGCGGCAGCGCAAGCCCAGCCCCCTCGGCCTCCTCCTCTGGCTCCCGCCCTCCGCTGGTCGGCCCAGATCGTACGTGCGGTGACTCTGGTGGGTGGGCAGGGCCCGCGTGGGCGGTGAGATTCTATCCGGGTGCCCTCCCACCTAACGCGCGCCCCCTCCCCCTACATGTACGAGGATCGAGGGGGAAGCCACGCGCGCGGTGCCCAAGGACCCGCGTGGGGTACGGAGCCCCCACGCGCGCGCTCGCACGCACGTCCCCAGCCGGGAGAGGCGCTCGCAGCGGCCCGCGACGCCTGGTGGGCACGGCCGCTTACCTTGGCATGGTGGAGGTAGAGCAGCAAGGCAAGGCTCCAATGCACCCAAGAGAGCAGAAAGTTCATGGTTTCGGAGGCCCGGCCGGAGCCGGCGCGGCTCGCGCTCCCTCTCCGGCTCGGGCTGCGGGGCGGCCCGCTCTCTTCGGCGCCTAGGCGGTCTCCTCTTCCTCCCGAAGCCGAGGCCCGGGCCAGGGCCTGGGGCGCGCGCGCGGCTGGAGCACTGTCTGCGCACACAGCCGCCTCACCCGTCCATGAGCCCGGCTTCCGAGCTCCAAGTCGCCACCGCGGCCCCCTCTCCTCTTCCTTCTCTTCTTCTTCCTCCTCCCCCTCCTCCGACTGCGGCTCCTCCCGGCCCGAGCTAGCACTTCTCCTGGTTCCGCTCGGCTCGGCTGCCCCGGCGCGGACCACGGCTCCTCCGGAGCGGGAACAACCCAGAAGTTGGACGAAAAGTTTCACTGCAACGCCGCGAGCTCCGACCCCCTCCACCCCGCCTCCAGGCGCGGGCTCCGGCTCTTGCCCGCGGCTCGTCGCCGCGTCCACCCTCGGCCGCCCGCCGGGGAGGAGGTGGGAGTTGGGGCGGGGGGCGGTGTCTGTCTGTCTGTCCGTCAGCGCTGCTGGTCCGATGCGGGATCCCGAGGGGGAGGGCTCACGCCGCGCTCTGGCGGTCACCCCCAAAAGCAGGTCACTCACTTTGACCCTGTCCCTGTCGTTGCTCGCTTCGCCCGCGCGCGCTCTCTGACCCCGTCTCTCTCTCTCTTCCTCTACTTCTCTTCTGGAGCTCTTGCTACCTCTTTCTTCTCTCTGCAGGTTTCCAAAATCCGAAGTGATTGGGGGAAGTAAAGGAGCGATCTCCCCAAACGGTCGGCCCGATTTTAGCGGGGAATGGGAAGCAAAAAATAAATTAAAACGGGAAAGAATGTGGATTTTAAAATTGCTGAAGAAAAAAAGAGGAGGGTAAACCCTGGAAAAATGAATATCAAATTCCAGTGCGGAGACCCCTGGCCGGTGATCCCGCCGGTTCTTCCGCCTCGCCGCTGCGCCTTCCGACCCAGCGCCGCTGCCGCCGGTTCCACTCGCCCCCCGCGCCGCGGCCTCCTTGCAGCCCGGCTGCCCCAAGCCTCTGCGCTCCCTACCACTAGCGGCCGCTTAAAATAGGCTAAGCCCCGCCTTTGGCACGCCCTAGGGCGGGGCCAGGCCCAGTGTCTGCGCTTCTCGGACTGCCTCGCACGCCCCTCGGGCCTTCCCCGGGGACGTGTAGCAAAGCCTGCCCCCCACCCCCGCCAGTGAAGGGAAGCTCGACCCCCACCTAGGTTCACAGCCTGAAAATTGACCAGCCCCCCTTTGCCCAGACACACACACGCCCGCGCCGTTTTGGGGGGAAGGGTACAGGAAAGTGAGGTTATGTGCGGACAGGGCTAGGGAGCTTTTCCTTCTTTACTGGGAATATTGGAGGGAGGGGGGCTCTGGGCGGTCAGGGAGTCGGGCAGGGAAGGGTGGGGAGAAGGATATACAGACCTATTGGAATACTGGCGTGACCCCTGGCCTTCTCCCCACTCCAGCACTCTCAGTCCGCCCCCCCCACACACACACAACACACACTCACACTGACACACGCGTCCTCACTCTCTCGCAGACGCCGCTCTCCCAAGTTCACCCAGCTTCCCTGTGGTAGCCGAGCGCCCCCTAGTGACTACTGCCTGCACACCCCCAGCTCTGGCTCAAGAGGGAACGGGCTCTGGGAAGAGGGTGGAGGGAGACTAACCCTGATCCCATTTCTGACCTCCCAATCAGAGGCATGTTTGGGACTCGAACCGACCCACGTGCAGAGAGCCCGATGCTGGGCCCAGGAGGCATGACGTATCCGTGTGGACAATGTGCCCATCTGGAGACTTCATCTGGCTTGCTGACATCAGAGTAAGCTACAGCCAAAGGACTGGGGTGACTGGGGTCCTTTGGGAAGTGTCCAGGGAAGCTTCCTTGGGGGAAATTATTTGGCACCAGGTTTGTAAGACTGAAAATGGGAAGCCGTGTGGTTCTGGGTTAGTCAGTGGCCCAGAGGGAAGAGGACCTGTTGGAGCCCACGTATGCACTGTGGAGTCTGGCAGAGCCCAAAGGGAGAGGCAGCCGGGCAGACAGAAGCCCTTGTTCCTGCTCTCCCCCCCTCCCCAGATGTTGCCAGGGAACTGAGGCCAGGGGGCTGGTGGGGGCGGATGGAGGCCAGGGCCTGAGTGATGATTCAAACCTACTCACCAACACTAAGGAACGTCTGTAGGCCAGCTGCCCAGAGCTCCCACGAGGCTGGGGGCCAAAGCTTCTTTCTATCAGCCCCAGCCCAGCCTCTCAGCTCATCTTCTGAACAGAATTGGGGTTTCTCCTCAGGACCCCCAGACCCCCAGGATCCCTTGCCCACTTCTACTGACTGGGAGCCTTTCTCCTCTTTCCCCCAGTTCCCCCCACCCCACACTGGCTCCCTTCAAAGCCCCCTTTTCCCCAACTCCCCTGGTCTTCCCTAAGTGCTCCCCGAGGCCTCCCACCCCACCCTTGGATATAGGAACCAGCCTGGAAAAATTCCTGGTTGGGCTTTGACCCAGAAGCTCCCAGGTTCCCCCAGGGAACAAAGAGGGGGCTCTGATACCTGAGGGAAGAGAGGGACCAACCAGTCTCATTTTTCATCCAGATCCGGCCAAGGCCTGGCCCAGGGCTGATGTAGCCTCTGTGGGTGTCTGGGCCAAAAGCGGGAATGCCGCAATTTCCCCCAAATTGACCCAAACGATCCAGGAAGGTTACTCAACCAACCCCTTGCCTCGGCACATGGTCCTGCGGTTGGGTGAGGGTGCTAGGTTACCTCTTTAGGAGCCCAGTTCCACGGGAGTGGCATCCTGAGGCTCCTATGAGCAGAGGGGCTGCCCACCCCACCCCATTCTACCCCTTTGCATCACCCATGCCTCCAGTCCTGCCTGTACCACCTGGCAAGCTCCCCAGCAGCAAGGACAAGGTCTTTTTCCAGTTACTAAACGTTTATTTGCTGGCTCAGGGGGCCCTCCTCCCAGGCAAGCCTTCTTACCTAGGCTCCATGCTCCTAGCTGCTGCATGGGAGATGAAAGGGAAGCCATTAAACCTCCTCCTTCCAACCTGGTCCGCATGTAGCACCACCAGGGCCCAAGATGTGGGTGCTTTGGTAGGGCCCCCCCATCCCTCCCCTGGAGCAGGCAGAGCGAGGACTGAGGCTCCCAGCAGCAGGAGCAGGGGCTCACGCTGGCCCCCTCCACCGCGTTCCTCCTCAACTCAGCCTTGCTTGACCCCCGAGAGGCCAAAAGAGGAGATCTTAGTAAAAGACCCTGAAGTTGAGAGGAGAGTGGAGGGGTTCCAAGGAAAGGTGGCTGTCAATTGTCGCCATAACCCCAGGGCTTTCCCCAACCTGAACCAAACATCCCCCTCGGTGGTGTTAAGTAAGGTGTGTCTCGGCTGCTTATTCAAGGCCCCCTCTGTGTGCTTGGCCTAGAGAACCAAAGGAAGGAGGGAGCAGAATTGCATCCTGGCCTGAGGGACTTTGGAGCACCCTGCTCTGCCCCCACTCCCACCCCTCATTTCAGAGACAAGCTGGTGGCAACTCCTAGGACGGTTGCCTCTGGACGCTATCGCCCAGTATGGTGTCACCGGCTTTCCCAACAATACACTATCCTGACAGATAACACCTAGCCAATGCCCATATTGCCATCGAACTGAGAGCCCAACACACCTGGGTCTTCCAGAAAGGGGACAAAAAGCACGTGGAATCAGGAACACCAATCAACAATCACAAGACCACATTGTGTCTCTCTAGTACCCTCTCCTCCCACACACTTAATCCCCCGGACAGGGGTCATGGTCCCCTCCAAGGGTATCCTCAGCCCCACTCGGAGGGCTCAGGACCAGGGCCCCCTCAGCTTAGGGCTCGGAAGCAGTTCTGCAGGAGCCAAGGAAGGGGAAGGTGTTCCAGGTGAGGGGGAAGTGGGGAGAAGGTGGGGGTGGGGGGTAAGGAGCAGGAAAGGTAGCCAGGAGCCAGCCGTGGCCCCAGACAAAGGAAGTAGTGATCAGGCCCAAGGCACAATAGTTGTACCTTGTCCTAATGACCTATCACTTGGATGTTCAGGGAAGCCCTTGCCTGTGTGGGTGTGGGCGGTTAACCTCCAAACCCATGGAGGAAGGGACAGAGCCCCTCCAAGTGGGGAGAGAGTGGCTCATTCTTGCAATTGTCTTAGCATTTCTCCAGGCGGTTTTGCCGTGGAGAAGAGAGGTCTCCTCCCTCGCACAGTCCCCTGACTCCCCAAGCACCTAGCTGGACACAGATCTGATCCACTGGAAAGGCAGGAGTACAAACCTCACTGAATTGGTGGAGAGAGAATTGGGTTGGCTCCCTTCAATTCTCTGTCCCTGGCTGCCGGTCTATCTCTCCCTACTCTGTCTCTGTCTCTCTCTGGTGCCAACCCTTCCCTGCCTCCCGCCCCCCACCCCCCGTCTCTCCCTCAAGGAAGAAGGGCCTCTTTTTCCTCCTGCCCGCTTCCAGTCCCCATCTGGATCTGGATCTTTGACTTGGGGTAATGATGGGCAAAAATGCCGATTGGTAATGAGACTAGAGGCTGACTCCCGCAGAGAAGCCCGGCAGGAAAAGGGGCGGGAAGAGGGATGGTGAACAAGCCGAGAAGCAGCAGACGGGCAGGGCAGGGCAGGGTCGCTGTCTGGGGGAGCCAACCCTAGTCCTTTATCAGCTGAGTCTCTGCCTGGCCCTTACATACCTCTGTTTAATCCCCTGAAGCCGGGCTGTCTCCCTGGATTGCTTCTCCCCGACAGCCCCAGACATGCTCACTTCTTGACACCCCCAGTCTTGGCTACCCCTCAAAGTCTGATCCCCCCTCCTGCCCATTGCTGCGCCTGGTCACACACACCCACTCATTCTTGGAGGGAGTCCCTGTCCCGGGAAGAGGTGGTAGCTAGGGTCCTAGAGCTGTATTCTCCCTTCAGACCTGGGCCCTGCCTGGGAGCTGAGCCTCGTTCCAGCCGTGGATCTTTCCCGAGGCCTACCAGGCACCAGGCACCGTGCCAATGCTGTAGAAGATACAGGACAGAGAACACTATGGGGGCTTCGGATCCAAATGGACCCAAGTGGCATTCCGGGCTGCCACTCTTTAGCTGAGTGACCTCGGGCAAGTGACTCAACCTCTCTGACCCCCCTGATCCCCTCATCTGTAAGACAGGAGTGAAAATGCTGCCCATGGACAGGTATGCACACAGCCACAGGTGAGGTGGGAAAGTGGCCCTAAGAGAGGCCCAAGGTGCTATGAGGGTACCAAGGCAGAGCAGTCAGACTGGCTGGGATGGGCCTCAAGAAGGGTTTGCTGCAGGAGGTAGCACGGGACGTTTATTAATAAGCAAGTATTAAACTCAGCCCGGGAGCCCTGTGTTGGCTCGGCCCGGGGGCTGCCACAATGTGGAAGGGGCTCTCTGTCCAGAGGAACCAAACCATAAACAGAAAATGGGAACTCTGAGGGGGGCACATGATTGCTGGCAGTAGAGGAAGGTTTCCTGGAGGAGGTGGCACATGAGGATAGAGGGAAGAGAGGCGTTTTTGCCCACTGCATGGAAAGGGATTTAAAAAAAAAACAGGCAGGGGAAGTAAGGTCTGGAGGATTCTGAGGCCCACCACACCTCTGGGGGTGATAGAGACTCTGAGGTTAGGCAGGATGGGGGATTAGGGCTTCTACAGAAACATTCCCAGTCAAAGCCCACAGGGACAATGCTACTCCCTCAGGGGGTGAGCCCCACGTGGGTTTCCCCGCCCTCTGGGACAGCGTGTCTCTGCCAGAGAATTTAAACAAACAAGCAGACACCAGACGTAGGTCCAGCTTGCCGGTGAGCACCACTATTGTTTGCAGGGAAGCAGAGAGGCAGAGGGCAGAGGACACCGGCCCGTGACAAGCACAGGGCCACTCAGCTGCAGCAGGGCACAAAGCAGAAAGAAGTTTTCTCCAGCTTTGTCCCCTCCCTAGCCCCAACAGGTGCCCAGAGGTCTGGTCTCCCATCTGTCCATCACAGACAGGTGGAAACCTGGAAACAGCACTGGGAGGTTGGCGGGGAGGAGGAGTCAAGGCTGCTGGATGCCGTGTGACCTTGGCCAAGTCAGTCCCCTTTTTGGACCTCAGAATCCTCCTAGATAAGAGCAGGAGGTTACACCCCCTAAACTTTAAGGCTCTGTAACCCTCCATCAAACACTCCAGCTGAAATCACTGATAGGAAATGTCACATCTTCTGGGAGTCTGTGTATTTCAAAAGGCTTCTGGAGAGAACAATGCTTAACTCAAAGATGGGTGAAATCTGGGGACCCAGCACCAAGTGGGGGAGGGGAGATGTGGTTCCAGGGAATCCCTCAAATCCCAGCAGGTCAGAACAGCTTCCTCTTTTACCTAGGAGACCAGAACCTCTGTCCTTTTTAAAAAGAAACTGGCAGGGTACCCGGGTGGCTCAGTGGGTTGGGCCCCTGCCTTCGACTCGGGTCGTGGTCTCAGGGTCCTGGGATCAAGTCCCGCATTGGGCTTCCTGCTCAGCGGAGAGCCTGCTTCCCTCTCTTTCTGCCTGCCTCTCTGCCTACTTGTGATCTCTCTCTGTCAAATAAATAAAAAACCTTTAAAAAAAATAAAAAATAAAAAGACACTGGCCTAATGAATCCTCATTGTGAAAAGCCCTCACCAGCTCCTCTGCCCCATCCCTACACCCCCATGGTGTGATGGAAAAAGCCAGACAGGCTGGACTCCATCTTGGCTCACCACTTCCAAGCCAGGAGACTTGGACAAATCTCATCATTTGCCTGATCCTTGATTTCCTCATCTGTAAAATGGGAGTTGGGGTGCTTTACCGCCCAGAGTTGTGAGAAGATAAATGGAGGCTATGAATACAAGCAAAGCTCTAGTGGACAGTGTCATATACATGTTACTACCCTTCCCTTTCTCTGTCCCTGCCCCCAGGAGTGAGTAAACTCTCAAGAGAATGCCAACTCACTAGCATCTCGATAAAGGCAAACAGAAAGGATTAGAGAAATAGGTTTATCCCATCCCTCTGTAAAAACAAAAACAAACACAACAAAAACAAAAACAAGGGACGCCTGGGTGGCTCAGCAGGTTAAGGGTTAAGCATCTGCCTTCTTTCTGCTCAGGTCATGATCCTAGGGTCCTGGGATCCAGTCCCACATTGGGCTCCCTGCCCAGCAGGGCACCTGATTCTCCCTCTGCCTGCTGCTCCCCCTGCTTATGCTCAATCTCTCTCTAACTTAAAAAAAAATATTAAAAACAAAAACAAAAGGGAAGAAGGAGGGAAGGAAGGGAGGGAGAAAGGGAGGAAAGAAGAGAGGGAGGAAGGAAAGAAGGGAGGAAGGAAGGAAGGAATCACACAGTGCTTGCACAGATGACTAGGGCTGGAGGATATGTGGCCTGGGCCCTTCTTTAGCCTTTCTTCAGAGCGATTGCATCACCAGGTTGTCACTGAGTTGGCTACACTGTAGGTTCCTTCAGGGAAATCCTAGGGGGAAAAAAAGAGGCAGGTACCCAAGCGCCCCCTGCCTCTTAGCAAGAAGTGACCCTTCCCACCTCCCTCAGGGACCCTCTGAGCCTGGACCAGTAGCTTGGCCCATGATCCAGGCCCCCCAGGGTGGTTCACAAAGATAAAGCCGGTCAATGATTGGTCCTCTGAGAGGAGTCACCCCACCATCCTGCCTGCCTTCCCAGACCTAGAAGTGCAGGGCCTACCACAGGGAGTGGGGGAGACCTCCACGCAGCTCCCAGGAGCAGCTTGGCCTAACAGCCTCAAGAAAATCAGTGAAGCAGACAATGAGTCAAGAGGTCTCCATGTCAGGAGAACATCAGACCCAGTTCCTGGGAGCCTAGGGAGGCCCTAAGAGGCCGGGCAGGTGGGAGAGGCAGTGGGAACAGGCAGGCACCACACACCCGGTTTTATCCGCCATATTGATTGGAGTTTCTCTTGAGATTTCTTCTGAAGAAAAGACTCCACGACTAAAGATGTTTGAAAATACCATCCCTGGCCAGATG